GCACGTAATAAACTTTCATTATTTTATAATTTAACTTAGTATTTTTTATTGAATCGATGAAAATTTCTCTTAGAACGTAAATATTTTATGAAATAATACAATGAAATAATTGATTTTGTAATAAATATTTGTAATAAAATATAATTTAAAAAAAATAAGAAGAAAATTTATCCTACTTTTGTTGGATATACTTGTCGCTGCTTAAAAATAATTAAGTACACAAGTGCACATTCTCCAAATGAAATAAACTTATTGTTAGAGGGTTAATTAGATATTGATTAAAATTTTGGTTCAAACAAATGAAATCCATATTATATTTAAAATGATATATAATTTTCGCATAGACGAATTCAGGCCAAACGAAAATAATGACAAAATGAAAATAATAGCTTCAACGATATATAATATCGTACGATGTGTCAATAATATGTCACTACAGATAGAAATCGATAAAAACTTCTCCATGAAAAAAGGGGAATAAATCGGAAAGTTTCTTGGACGGACGAACACGACGATAACCAAGATTTTCTATTTCCGGTCTGAAGAATCACCGTTCTCGGAGAACAGTGTGTCCAGAAAATGAGAAATCTCCTTTCGTCCATGCGCAAGAAAGGAATAATGATTGCTTAAAACGGACGGAGGCGTATCCCTCAAATATTTGTTCTGTTGGGAAGGCTGTAATTCACCGTGAGCCAGGGGGGGATGGGAGGGAGAATCAATTTTTTCGTAGCCGTCGATAAACTCGCGGACATCAATGGGGAAAATATCCCCACCGTCTGAATTAAAACCGTCTACACTGAATTTCACTCACGACTCTTCTCCGCGTCTTTCAATCTTCTCCAATTCGGTATTCAAGAAGAATTTCGCGGAAAAATTTATAGGTACTCTTCGTTTCCCGATGAAGATCCCATTGTGAATATTCTTTTTCCCCCTCTCAGAAACGCGTGTGTTTTTGCGATTTAACGCAAACTTTGCTCAATGACTGCGAAGGATTTTTTTTTTTTTCGGATAGCCAAGAAATCTTAACGATTTCTCTAAATGACAATTTTGTCCACTTGAAAAAGACTGTATAGAGAAGTAGTTAGAAGTAGTTATAATCAGTATAAACTGATTACCAGACTGCAGGTTTCTGCAAATGAATTTTTTGAGAAATTTATAAAGTATGTGTCGTGTGTAAAAAACACGAGATATTCAAAGTAGACCACTTCAGTAAAATATGAAATCGGATGCCTCAGTTATGCTCGCAAAAATGTGAAATTGCATGAAACGTTCGAAGTCAGCTAAGTAGAGATCGAAAAAAATTATTTCCATTTAATATAATATTTCAATAATAATCAATTTTATTGAAGTATATTAAATTTCATATTAAATTTAGTAGTACTTCTATATGACTACAACGACTTGATATTATGAACGTGGAATGTAAAATCTGATCGAAATAACTTTTCATTGAAAAATATTTTTTGTAGCTACTATTATGAATTTTCTCCGATTTTCTCTGACTTTGGACCAATGCGTGTAGATAAAATGGAAGATGTGTCACAAAGAATAATCTGTTCCCAAAATATAAAACTTATTCAATTTAAGAGAGAGAAAATGAATGATCTAATCTCAAAATAGCTAATTTACTGAATGAAATATAAGAGCATAAAAATAGTTAATTTAATTTACTGAATGAAATATAAGAGCATAAAACAATCGCAGTCGATGTGACAAAAGATCTATTAAAAGAAATCTATCTGTTTCCATTAAATTATGACGTATTTATTATTATTATTATTATTTATTATTATTGTTGTTATTATTAAAGAAATATAATTAACTTACATTTCTACTGATATTCTTGCTAATTATTTATTTAAACGAAAAAGGAACGTTACCTTTGACCCACCGTGTATAAATTTAAATATTTTTTTACACTCCACGGATTATTTACGTTCCAGACTTTTAAAAATTTTTTAATATTTTAGGACAGTTATATATCCCTTTGCCAGATCGCACGATCGTTCGACGAAATCAAATTTTTGAGACCTTTCCCAGTGAAAATAAGTATTCAAGGGAGGGTCTCAAATTTCAATGGTGAAATTTCGCTTTGGTCGTTAACGACCCAATTTATTTACGGGAGGGGTTAAATCGATGACGTGTCGTTCCACGTGTATAAGTAATAAATTACTTTGTCGTGTATTGCGTCTAACTGACACATTAAAAACAAGAAAATAACAAATGTGACGAAATTATCTATTACTATATATGGTATATAGTATATAAATGAAACGATTCTTCAGATTGAACATTTTATGGCTTATGTATATGTATGAACAGCAAGGATCGTAAACATTACTGTTTATGTACATACATGCTACAACCTATTATTTTTTCACTTAACATTTTATTTCCACATACTAATATCCATATATATTCTGTTTGTATGTTATAGGAACATTTTGTACTGTATA